TATTTTCTGGAAAACATAAGACAAAATTAATATCTTTGCTTCCAAAAATTGCCTTGTTTCTCGTGAAAGTTGCTTACGCACATTAACAGTCTGCTTACAAACTCTTTGAAAACAAGTTTAAGATTGCTTTTAAAAAGGAAATACACAATTTGGAAATGTACAGCCTGTACTTGCCCAAATGGTTACATGAGCCATAAAAAAATTAAAAGTGATTGTATTATGAACATATTCAAGAGCACTTGACATCAAACTAACTGACTTACTTCCAAAAACTAAACCTAGATATCAGAGCCATCAAAAAGCCATCATCAAAGACGTAGTGTTGTCTCAGACAGTACATGTAGCATTCTTTTGTAGCAAAAGAATGCTACATGTACTGTAACTGGTTTCCTACCTCTCTCATTCTTCCCTGCCTCCGACACACAATCTTGTGATCAATCTTTCCCGTCACCCTTCCTCTTTTTTGGGAGTCCTTTAAACTTCTTAAATAGGTAGAAAAGGCACCTGCACAAAACAAAGGGATTAAGTTACTAAAAATCCCTCTAAAATAGAGATGGAAGTGTTATTTGCATAGATGAGACCCCAAAGCAAAATAATCAAAAAGCAAAAATGATAGAATAGACCAGTGTTACTAAATATAAATGTTGAGACTATATTTTCTTGGATTGTTGTTTTCAACCCAGTTGTTAACACAAAATTACCTGTTTTACTCTCCCACCGACGCAGTACCACACTCACGGTCTGCTGCAGCCTCGTTCCTATGTCTTTTCGTCCCCAGGGACTCTTCATCAGACGTCCTGAGGACTAAAATAGTCGGAAGAAGTCTACGTTCGCAACATGTCAGAATACGCAAGATCCAAGTTTAGGAAAGTCGACATTTTATAAACACAAAAGCCGTTATTACAATCAATTACTCATTCATTTTTGAAACAAAACTAGTTTATTTAATTAATTGCTTTCCAGCTAGTACCCCCACAAACACCTCTGTCACGTTTATATGTAGCTCTCTTCCTTCTCCTATTGGATTTTGCAACTGGAACTACCATTTATATTGCGTGGAAGAGGTGTTGGGGGGGGGGGGCGAGGGCAAAATGAAGACAGCCTGGTATTGCTTCAACAGGTTGACAGTGGGCCTCTTACTCTAAAAGAGATTTGACTCTTTAATGTAAGCCCGATATTTCTCACCCATAAGAGGTGAAGAGGCACCCTAGGGAACCCATCACTTCACAACTGTTAACAGCAATGGTTTCAGTTGAATGTTATTTTCTTTTCGTTTATTGTTCTACATAACAAATTAATACACGCATATTGCACGACAGCCAACTTCATAATATGATCACAATCCTTTTTGGAGGCATGTAAGGAGCGCTTAAAAAAAGGTAGTTTAAACATATTTATGCGAACAGAAAGTTTAGAACCGGTGTAAAAGACAGAATACAGATGCGGAAAGAGAATTAAAAGCACGCACAGACTGGTTGTGCAAATGGAAAGTTAAGGGTCGTTGAAGAACACTAAAGATTTGTAAAGAGAATTAACGGCACATAAAGATTGATTGTGCGTAGAGAATGTTAAAGGTTCGTAAAGAACAGTGAGTAAAGATGCGTAAAGAATTTTAAAGACGCATAAAGTGTTATGAGCGAAACTGGTCAAAATACCACGGTAATTCTACGGAAGATGGAAGAGCTATAATTTTTTCATTTCTTTGAGTATTTCTCCAAATAGAGAGTGGTTAATTGTATCCATCTTGATCCTTATCCTTTACGAACGTTTAATATCCTTTACGCAGTCTTTGCGCGTTTTCTGCATTTACGCATCTTTACGGAACGCGGAACTTGTGCGTAAAGAAGAGGCTTTATATTTACGTTTCTTTACGCAAGAGTTAAATATGCGTAAATTTGCGATTTCATACTGTGAATTTAAGGTCTAAAAACGCGGGAACAAGGAGTTATAGGACATGCACACGCAGATATTATTTACACCAGATAGAAGTATATCTTGTATCCCAAATGGGAGTACATAACAAACCAATGTTTTTTATGAACGAAACTTAAATTTTTAGTAATCGTTGTAATAAATGTAATTATAAACTGTTCTGTTTTCTGGTAATATTGACCAAGTTGAAATTGTAAATTGGCCACCGTAAAGAGTTCAAAAGCTGACGTTTCGAGCGTTAGCCCTTCGTCAGAGCGAATCCTTCCATCGCGCGCGTGCATTGGCACAAACGTCCTTTAATCTATCTCTTTCTCATCTTCTTTAGTAACAACTTTTACTTGCGTCTGCATGCTGCTACGTAAAACTGTCATAGAAGTTGGAAGTGTTCATAGCACAATTTGGATTTTCACTGACTGCTACGTGATAAACTGACTAAAAAAACCTGAAAACAACGCTAAAAGTACTGTGGATTACAATAATAATTATCGACGTACTTAAGGTGTTGTTTTAGAACGCACTTTTCGCATTCGATATAGAAGACCTCTTTTATGTTAATTCAAGAGAAGCAAGAGAATCCACTATGAATGTCGCATCTGATACGCGTCTATATATTCAATGGAGAAGAATGCTTATGCACAAAGTTTAAACTGGCATTTTAATTTGTTCAAAAACGATAAAGGGTCTTTCCTTTTCAATACCGCACAGGCGCTTCAGAGGATGCAGAAAAAGAAGAAATGTGAGATCAAACAGTTTTTTCGAGGAGTTCCCCGGAGTGCCACTTGGTAAACTCCTGCAGAAGGTTCATTTCTTCTCCGCTGAGGACTCCCAGCGACGAATTTCCAGGCTCCTGGATTTAAATGCAAGCTTGATAAGCAAGATTAGTAGGCACTTACAGGATGGCTGCCCGAGAGACTCAGGACAGGCCAATCACGCCCTTTGGTGGACCTGGGACTGTGGTAAAATGCGGTGAGAGCTAGTTCAACCACTAATCAAAAGTAAAATCTCTATTTTTTCAAGTACAGTTCAAAATGACTAAAATGAAACACGCATGATTCCCTGTTACTCTGAGTTTCGTGCTTACGCACTCGTCAGACAGATTAAATCTGTCTGACGAGTGCTTAAGCACGAAACTCAGTGTTACAGGGAATCATGCGTGTTTCATTTTAGTCATTTTGAACTGTATTTCGCTCTACACTCATGTGTATTGAGCGCTTTCCAACAGCATTTGCTACAATTTCCCACAATTATTTTTCAATTATATACTAACACAGTAGATAGTGTCGTAGGAGCGCTCTGATCGGCCTGCACTCAAACTCCGAACATTCTTTGCTATTCACCTCCGAGCAACTTGCCCAGTATTGGCACACAAAAATTATAGCAACCGTTACAGGAGTAAATGAGTTTGAAAAAATCACCTTTTTGTTCCATATTATCTTACTGACATAGTATATACTAGGCAAATGTTCACCTCCAATTATGTCAATATTTTTGAAATATAAATATTTTCATAGTCTTATTGTTTCTTGATATTCTGGAACATGTGGTTCACAAGCCGAAGTAGGTGGGAATGTGACAACAAAGAGCACTCAGGGCGCTTTAATATCAAAATTATTTCATACAGGTGAATGATAATTACACATAGCTGGGATAAAGCCTAAAGAAAGATATTAATGGGACAAAAATCATCCATCTGAAATATATATATTTTTTCATTATTTCAGTACAACAGAGGAAGACGTGCACAAAGGGACACATGGGTTTTTGGGATTGCTACGACACAATATTCACCTGCATAAGGCTACTTCGAGGTAGTGGAAAGACGAGATATGGCCACCCTCATCCCATCATTTCAAGGTGTGTTCTCCCTGGAACCGAAGTGCACTCGGATGACTTGGCCTCCCACCGGCAGACGGACCAAAGGATTAACAACATAAGTGCACATCAAGTGATTGTCCACCGACTCAACTACGTTGGCCCAGTCACTATGGGGTTGACATCCAAGAAATCCAATCCCGCTGGAACAGTTTAAATCTGGGCCAGAAAACACGCCGGGGGATAAGGAGGGAAGACCTGCAGTCCTACTTCGACGAGCAAATGTGGCGTCAGTGGAGAGCGGGAACCCCTCAGCAATCAATGCAGAATTTTTGGCCGTTCTAGCCAATCAATATCTAATTGATCATCCGGTTTTGTAAATATGCTACGGTTTTTACTTTCAGTTTTGATAGAGACAGGTAAAGAAACAATTAAGCTTTGTCCATGACTATGTTCAATAGGTTTTACGTAGATTAGGTCTACTGATCACACTGGTCCGGAAAGCTTTTTTAACGAAAAGACGCACTTTTAAAATATGCGATTTCAACTTGAATTTTAATTCATTTTGAAAACCGACCTTTTCGAATTCCCCGATGTTGATTTTTCTTGTAATATTGCGTTTTTTTGCCGTAGGTGACCATTATGATGTTGCCAAAAAAAAAACAGTTTATTCATTTTCATAGATAGAGGCAAAGCTTTTTTGGATTGTGGGAGCAAAATGACGTTTTTCGAAGCGCCTGCGAAAGTGTGGTCGGGGCCTTGATGTTGGGAAGTATTTAACATACAACAATCAGAGTGTTCAAAAATAAAACTTGATTGAAAAGTTCAAAAGATTGGTGATTCAGTCGTAATCCTTCCTTAAGGAGCAAAACTAGTAACATTTTAAAACTAGAGTGCGATACGAATGTTGTTGTATCGATAGATGACGCTGTTATAAGTCAGAAAAAAGGTGCGACGATATCCAGTTTTAATTACCTTCTAAAAAGTTACAGTAAAAGTTCAAGTAATATCTAAATGGAAGTTGTCGTGGTGAAACCGGAACCCACGCGAGCGAAAAAAAGAGCGTCCTGATCTGAGGGGAAGAGAATCGCTTAAACAAAAACGGCAGCATGGGAAAATTTATTTTCAATATTCTCCCGTCTTACTTCATATCCTCTCTATGAATCCTGTCTCTGAATCTCCTAAAAAAAACTTATGAAGTATTCACCGTTAGTATCGAGGTTTTTTGGACACTCCATCGCACTCCATAAGGTTAGACTCTCCACAAGTCTTTCTCGTCAGTACTGTAACCGAGCTCGATAAATGAACTTTGTCGAGGTAGATTACTAATCGAGGGAAGTGCAAAAAATGCGTAAAGAAGATAACCAATTATTAGTTCAAAAAACTAATTAATTCAATAAACTTTTAAGAAATTTATTAACAATTCGCGTTTCAATATTTTGCCATGGGAATTAAACTGTAAATCAACAATAATAAAAGCTATCTAACCTTTTAAAAAAATTTTTTGAGGTGACTGTCTTGCTTACTAGGGGTGGGTTGGAAAAAAAACTGGAATTTTGCCGAGAGTAGGTTAACCCTAACCTCAATAATAACAATCAAGATTTACTCCTATCACTTTTTGAAAACTGTCATAGATTGACAAGGGATGTTTCTCTTCTATGTGAAAATCGCAGCTAACAACAGAACCAACCAGAGCAATTCCCCTTTGAAGTTGTGCAAAAGTTATGAAAAAATGCAAATTTAGTGCGCCTCCCCACTTTTTAACCACGAAAAATCGATAAAAAATTAAGGTTTTTATGGATTTTTAAAAAGCTTGAAAGGAACCTAGAACAAGACGAGGGCTAATCTTTAGTAGTGTTAGATTCCTCATTTTATCGCTTTAAGGTATATTTTTTACAATATGTAAAGTTAACTCGAAAACTTCTCTAGGTTCGCCCTCCCTACTGTTTAAATTTTCTGTGTTGAATCTGTTTAAAGAGGCCTGGATCTTCAAGAAAACCTCAGGGTTAACGCGGGCTACGTATATCATCCCCTTAAGAACCAGAAAAGATGTAGAGTAGCACAAATCCGGACTTTGAACCCCAAGAGAGTTATGAACTAGTGCGCCCTTCCCTCTTTTTGAAACTTTCCAAGAAATATCTCAAAAAGGTCAAAGTGATGGGCAAAACATTTTAGCACAACAAAGCCAAGCCTATTCTACATCTTCACCCAAAACCCCGAGTCAAACCCTTAATACCCCCAGCATCTGGAAGAATTAGGGAAAAAAAGTGGGGAGGGCGCACCTAAAGAAACCTGGTTAGGAGTTAACATAAAGAGCTTCCAATGAATCAGCGTGCATTTCTTTTGAGTGTTTTTGTTATAGTTTTGTCCTCGGTGATTGTGTATTTTTCAGAAAAATGATGAATGGCTCAAAAGTATATAAATAGTTTCTCTCTCCACGCCTAATATGTTAAATTTGTCCTGCCAATCATTTTGAAGTCGGAAAGCCATGAGTAAGGAAGTTTTTCGCTTTCTATAAATTTCTTTTTTCTGCCTCTAACTTAAATTGATTTATCTGATCAAGTTTTTTTTTAATTGGCAATAGGATGGCAACAAAATATGTGAACCGCTCCACCAAATCTTAATAATTTGCAACTAAGGAAACGTGATGAATCTCGCTGGAAAGATCCTTTTTTCCTACTCCCAAAACAGTACGTCTTAGAATAGAACTTCGCTAATATCGATATCTGAGCTTGCGTAAAGTTTGGATCTCGCGTTACCGAAAAAAGTTCACATTCACCATCGCTTGGGGCCGTGTAAAATTAATTTTATTAAGTTAGGTACTTCATGGGCTTGCTTGTAAAGCGAAGTATCATGTTAATAAGTATATATATCCATTAAATTATTCATTCATCTATTTGGTTTTTTTTTGGTTTTTTTTTTAGAAAGAAGAAGGTCACGGGATGTCTGGGTGTTTGGAATTGTATCCTGCGATACTTGTCTAGCTAAAGGGTATTTTGAAGTTGATAGAGGAAGACATTGTGCAAACCTCCTTCCCATTCTGACCAAATATCTTTTTCCTGAAGGAGTCCATATTCAAGAAGCGGAGTCAGCCTGGATGATCTTCAAATTTATTTAGATAAACTTGTGTGGAGACAATGGAGAGGATAACAAGACGTTATAAGGAACGTTGTAAAGTAACCATTTCAAGTCATATCTTTCGCCTTATATCATTGTTATTATTTTCGCCCGCCATCGAACTAGTCACTGCCGATTGATGCGGCATTCAAGATCGCAGTGGGGAAATAGGAATGAAACTGTCGAAAATGGCTGCGTGGCAATGTTACATATAGGCATAGCTAACGCTTCCTTCGCTTCTATTTTAACTCTTGGTTTCAGATTGAAGGGAGCAGGGACAAAGAAACTTTCACAAACAAAAATAAAGCCAGTGCATGATAGTTTGGACATGTATCTGTTTGACTGTATGACTAAAAACATTGCTTCTGTCGGTAAGGAATAAGGCAATAACTGAGAAGTTTGTGAATTGAAATTCACGCCCATTGTTTGTTTTTGTAATGTCCAACGCGTTTTTTCATATTGAGCCTTATCGCCGACTCACTTTGCGAAATTTTTTGCGGATTGAGGATCCCACTTTCTTTTACATTAATAAATAAAGCCGACTTTTCTTGTCAGTTAGGGCCTACTGTGTGTATATAATAGACAATAACATGGTTGCTGGTAGATATAGAATTTCTTTTCTCGTGTTCAACTAAATATCTCACTCGTAAGCTGTCGAGTTGAACACTAGAGCAGAAATTCCGTACCTACGCGCACCCATGTAATCGTCTCTATTTATCATATAAACTACAGTGTTATGCAAGGATTTTCAGCCATTATTCATGTTGATGAATAAACAAGAAAGACTTCACCATTTTCAATCCGAGGTCGTTCGTTGGAATTTTCTCTGATTATGGCTGCTGAAACACTGAAAAAAACTGTATCGCTCACAGACAGTGACGTACAAACTTTCCTTGAAGGGGAAGAAAACCAATATACGAAAACGAAAACCGAAAGCTACGTATTTGGTGGCTTTGGTAATGGCATTTCTCGCGGCTGAGAACGAAAATTGACAAATAGAAGATTTGCTACAGGCCGATTTTGGCCGTTTACCTGAAAGATTTCTTTTGTCGGTAGGGGTAAAGTCAATAAACGAGAATTTTGTAAATTAAAAATCACGTTCAATGTTGTTTTTGTAATCATGATTCAAAGTATCTTTTTCATCTCAAGCATTGGCGCCAACGCACTTCACGATTTTTGTTCGGGGATTGCTGATCCTTTTATTTTCATTCATTAATAAATTCGGCTTTTCTTGTCAGTAAAGGGTTGTGTTTATATGATTTATTATACCCATTTTGAAATCACTGGTGGTCCCTGTAATCTGATTGGCTCTAACTGATGCGATTTATTCACGAATCGCACCATTTTTTGCTTTAAATCGCATCTTTTCCCCAGTAAATTAGGAGGCTACACTAGAAATAAAAAAACCAATCAGATTTCAAGGCTTGTTTAAAGTAACCAATCAAATTGCAGGAAAATGAAAGACGAAGCGTATCATGTGGCAAATTTTGCAAGTTTTGTCACTAAAACTCTTACTTCCCCCCCCCCCCCCAAAAAAAAAAATGGATGAATTTAATTTCAGACCGGCTCAGTACTGCATCAAAAAATATTTGGGTGATTTCAAAATGGATGTAATAAAGTGGTAATTGAGCCTCGTGTCGTGCAATTTTCGTCTGAAATCATACGCGTGATTTCAAAACAAACTCACGCTATGCGCCTGTTCGATTTTGAAATCACGCGTATGATTTCAGCCCAAATTGCACTCCGCTCAGTTCAATTACCATTATAAACAACATAATACATGGTTGCTTGTAGATATGGAATTTCTCTTCTCGTATTCAACTTGACATCTGACTCATTCGCTGCACTCACTCGTGAGCTTGTGAGTCAAACATCCGAAGATAAATTCCCCATCTACGCGCGCCTATGCACTATTCTTAGATCGTCTGAAAAAGAGCCCCCGCTAACAAAATACAAAAGCTCTTAAATTAACCCCTCCGCTTCAAATATTTTTCTCCTTTTTTTTTTTAAGGTCTCCCCCTATGTGCCTGTGGGCACATGAGGGCTGATCCCATCTGTTTTGTTGGGAACCATGTGACCCCTTCTGCAAAATTCTCCATACCCCCTCAGGCGACAAATAATTACCGGTCCCTTAATGCACAAAAACTCGCTCAAAAATACTTTTAACGCTGATTTCGGGGGATACAAATGGATTACATTTCGCTTGAAAGATAATTCCTAGTTTTATTTGATAAATCTCATTTGGTCTTATTAACTATTTAGTAACTCGGCCGATGATATGGAACAGATGTATCAGAAATAGTTATAAACATTTCAAAATCTCGAAAGGTTCTCTAACTTAGGCTATCAGCAAATATCACTTGCTTGCAGACAAAAATATTCATCATATGCACTTATAATTGAATTAGAAACAGAACTAGCAAATCGAGTGTGAATATAGATCAACTGAGTGGCTCCCGCTTCTTCAGATCTTTTATTATTAAAAAAGCGTTTGACCTTTTAACCAGCGAGGTTGATACTTTAGGGAGTGATCGTTATTTATCGCACGGGAGAGTAGGAATTTTTTTGGAGGGGAATTACATGAATTTTAGGGGGACCGAAAGGGGGGGGGGAAATCAGTCGTCATTAACAAAGTAAAAAAAGGCGGACTGTAGAAAATTGACGGCCAATCATAGGGATCATAGGAGGGGTCTACTAAATTTCATTTGGGCACAGCCAGAATACTTCTAGCCCCCTCCCATTTCCGGATGGTGGATAACGCTCGGGTCCTCATTGTTTTGTTGGCTGGGCCCAAAGAGACATTCCAGCACACTCTCTTAAGACAGGATGACCTAACAAAAGGCGTAACGGAAAAAAGCCAAATATATTCTTACACAAGAGGTATAGGAAAGAAAATTGTCAAAAAGACGCTAACAAGCCATAATGCCATTGCTTTATTTATCCTTTGTTCATACAACCAGCACCAACAACAATTTTAGAGGAAACTTCCCTCTTGTTACTTGGTGCATACAGCGCAAGTCAACTCTCTACCGGCGACATATGATGACAAAGGGAGCAAGCCACAAACACCTTCCACGGGGTATAGTAATGCACCATTTTTGTCTGTCTCGGCGAATGCGCGGAACTCCGTGTCCACGTCATCCCTCCTGAAGTGCCGCTGGTTCTCTTGGTCGTAGCATGCAGTTATAAGGTACCCATGATACTCCAGAAGGAAAGCCTCATACCTAATACAAGGGAAAGCAAAACACAAAATTACCCCTTTTTAGAACTCTCCCTTACTACCATTTTCACAACCTGAAAATATTAAGTAGCACCAGAAGTATTTCGGCACAGTAACAGTAACAACATAAACTACAGTAACTACACATACGACAGTAACAACAAACTACAGTAACAACACAAACTACAGTAACAACACAAACTACAGTAACAACACAAACTACAGTAACTACACAAACTACAGTAACAAAACCTACTTCAGTAACTACACAAATTACAGTAACAACACAACCTACAGTAAAAACACAAACTACAGTAACAACACAAACTACAGTAACTACAGTAACAACACAAACTACAGTAACTACACAAACTACAGTAACTACATAAACAACAGTAACTACATAAACAACAGTAACTACACATACTACAGTAACTACATAAACTACAGTAACTACACAAACTACAGTAACTACACATACTACAGTAACAACACATACTACAGTAACTACATAAACAACAGTAACTACACAAACTTCAGTAACTACACATACTACAGTAACAACACATACCATAGTAACTGCATGAACTACAATAACACAAACTACAGTAACAACACCAACTACAGTAACTACACAAACTACAGTAACTACACATACTACAGTAACTACACAAACTACAGTAACTACAAATACTACAGTAACAACACATACCACAGTAACTACACAAACTACAGTAACAACACAAACTACAGTAACTACACAAACTACAGTAACTACACATACTACAGTAACAACACAAACTACAGTAACAACACAAACTAGAGTAACAACACATACTACAGTAACAACACAAACTACAGTAACAACACAAACTACAGTAACAACACAAACTACAGTAACAGCACAAACTACAGTAACAGCAAAAACTACAGTAACTATACAAACTACAGTAACTAAACCTACTACAGTAAATACACAAATTACAGTAACACAAACTACAGTAACTACACATACTACAGTAACAACACAAACCACAGTAACACATCGTAGAGTAACTACATAAACTACAGTAACTACACACTAGAGTAACAACACATACTATAGTAACTGCATAAACTAGTAACTACACATACTACAGTAACAACACATACTATAGTAACTGCATAAACTACAGTAACTACACATACTATAGTAACTGCATAAACTACAGTAACTACATAAACAACAGTAACTACATAAACTACAGTAACAACACATACTATAGTAACTGCATAAACTACAGTAACTACATAAACTACAGTAACAACAAATACTATAGTAACTGCATAAACAACAGTAACTACACAAACTTCAGTAACAACTCATACTATAGTAACTGCATAAACAACAGTAACTACATAAACTTCAGTAACAACTCATACTATAGTAACTGCGTAAACTACAGTAACTACACATACTACAGTAACAACACATACTATAGTAACTGCATAAACTACAGTAACCACATAAACTACAGTAACAACACATACTATAGTAACTGCATAAACTACAGTAACTACATAAACTACAGTGACTACATAAACAACAGTAACGAAACAAACTATAGTAACAACACATACTATAGTATCTGCATAAACTACAGTAACTACACAAATAACATTAACTACATAAACTACAGTAACAACACAAACTACAGTAACTACATAAACAACAGTAACTACACAAACTATAGTAACAACACATACTATAGTATCTGCATAAACTACAGTAACTACACAAATAACATTAACTACATAATCTACAGTAACAACACAAACTAAAGTAACTACATAAACAACAGTAACTACGCATACTAAAGTAACAACACAAACTACAGTAACTATATAAACTACAGCAACTACATAAACAACAGTAACTACACATACTTCAGTAGCTACATAAACTACAGTAACTACACATACTACAGTAATTACAATAACTACGGCAATTACACCAACTACAGAAACTATGAAAAATACTGTAGCTATACAAACTACAGTACCGATACAAAGTTATCTCTTAAACTACAGGAACTACACAAACTACCGTACACTAACGAACTTCAGGGACCATTACTATAATAACTTCTCAATTTAAAGTCCCTCTACAAAGTTAAAGTCACTAAAGCAACTACAATAACTTCACAAACTACAGGATTGCCATAAACTTCAATGATAACACAAACTAAAATCACTAATGAAACTAGAATACATACAAAAACTACACAAATCACATTTTACTGATGATGACATCGTTGAAATACATAGTGGACTGGTGTGTTATAAGTTATGCAGTCTGGTGGCTTCCTCAGCAAAGGAAATCCACTTAGTATCTGCTCATTTAATACCGATGGTGTTTCATAATTGAAATCCTCAAGCAAGCAAAACTTTTGGCCAATGTTCTTAGTGATCAATGAACTGTCTCCAAGACCAAGGCAAGACAGAATAAAGTTGTTAATGAAAATTTCGAATGGTTCTGTATTATTCTTTAAAGATTATTGAATGTTATATATCTGGAAACAACTCTTGAAATCATGAGGAAGTTTACTATGCAAAATAATTCCAACATTTCTGTCATACCTAATACTTTTTAAACTTTTGTGTTGTTATAATCAAGAAGTCACTCATCAAGTTTTGCGCAAGATGCCCCTTATATGGGAAGATAACTGGGGATTTAACAAGAAAAAGAGCATCTGATACTAGAACACCTACTATGGAACTGACAACTGATGGAGCTTTCCATTCATTCAGCTACTCATGTCTCCTCTTAAGAAATGAGTACGCCTTACGCACTCGCTGTTATTGCAGTAATTAATTTATGTCTGGGAGCACTTCACCATTAATCCTTTTAAATACAAGATATAGATGGGAATCCACTTACAATGAGTGAAGAGAACTTATGAATTTGCAGTTCTTTGGATATCCAATATTGCTTTTGAAGCTGGTCATCTAGTTGTAATGACCTTTTCTTTGCAACTTCTGTTGATTACAACCATGAAAGGCTCTTTTATTGTTTCACACAGACCTTTAGGAGAAGAGCTTGCCAAAGCTTTGCTATTACTTGAAGTTTTGTATATCACCAGAGCTGTTTACATGTCGAAAACAACAAAAGGTTATTGTACAGTCCATAGTCGCAAGTATTGTAGACAGTGTTGGGTCAGTCACAGACCATGAGTGGAAATAGCGTGTACAAAGCACAGACTTGGGCTAAAGCTGTCAAGCCATCTGACAAATTTTGCTGTGTCCGGTTCGCTTTAGTGTAATCACTGTTTCCTTTTTAAATAGATGTATTACTCCCTCTGGATTAAATCCAAGTCGAGAATTCAATGAGTGGTGCTCTCCTTGCCTCTGCTTTCCTTGTTTACATCCATCTCAGCCGGGATTAAGTCAGTATGCTTGACTACTGCTACATCATAGTCACATAGCAAAAATGGTGATCTTTAATTTGAAAATGTCGATTTTTAGAACGTGTTTGTTTGCAACAAAAATGATTTTAGCTTAAATGAATAGCTGGTTAGGACAATGCAAGTCAGGAATTTTTAATTTAGGTAAACTTTTTTATACTGTACTTTCCCTATAAGTATTTGCAATTGTGCAACTTTCTTATAGTAGCTTGACTACCTTTAACAAGGGCTTCTTCAGCAGAAGTGAAAATTGGTTACCAAGAAGGTTAATTTGTAACATGACCTTGGAGATTAAAATAATCAACAAGATTTGAATTGTGATTATAACAAAACAAAACCAAACCTTCCCACAGACAGGGCTTAGAAAGTTTTTCCACGTCCATCAGTGCCTGACCAACTACAAAATGTTTTTGGTTTTGATTTTCATTATTTTTGACAAAACAATAATTGTTCCAATATTTACTGCATTAACTTTTTTGTTCCAGTTTTATGTTTAAAAATACAAATGTAGGTAATAATAATCGTTAGAGTCGCTGTTGTATTTTCAACATGTCATTAATATTCATACTGTTACTGTTTACCCTTATCAAAAAAGGTGACCCGCATAAAGTGTACTTTAAGTACATCACAATTATAATGCATACATAAGTTATGATGCAGTCCTATCATACTTCAGTAATACTGCACTTAAAGTACAATTGCAGTACCATTTTTTAAATTTAAATTGCATTATGTGTTTTTGTAATTGTTTTTAAACTTTGTTAGGAATCTGAATCATTACTGTCTATTTTCAATCGGATATTTGAAAAATTAATGTACCACCGCCTCAAATCCTATCTTGGTAAAAACGATATTCTATTTAAGTCACAGTATGGCTTCCGCGAAAACCATTCCACGCAACATGCCATTATTGATATCGTTAATGTCATACAAAACAATATGGACCAAAAACTTTTCACTTGCGGGATCTTTTTAGACTTAAAAAAGGCCTTTGATACCGTCGACCATTTAATCTTGCTTCAAAAACATAATCATTATGGCATCAGAGGAATTATCGATGCTTGGTTTGCCTCGTACCTTCTCGGTCGTTCACAAGTAACTGAAGTGGGTTTTAACTTATCTACCGAATGTATGATCTCATGTGGTGTCCCACAGGGGTCTGTGCTTGGTCCTCTGTTATTCTTAATCTATATTAACGATATTCACAACTCTTCAGCGAAATTGTCATTCTATCTCTTTGCTGATGACACGAGCTTGTTGTATGCTGACTCTAATTTGAAATCTCTTGAAAAAACCGTCAATAGCGAACTGCTCAAAGTCTCTGACTGGCTCAATGCAAATAAGTTAACGCTCAATGCTAAAAAGTCAAACTATGTTATCTTTCGTCCATATCAACGTAAGTTGAACTACTCGATTAACATTGAAATGATCGATAACTGTACTCAAATTCCTACCACGCTTCAGTGCGAAGACCATGTTAAATATCTTGGCCTCCTATTGGACAGCAACTTAAACTGGAAATTTCAAATAAATAATGTTGCATTAAAAATAAGCAGAACTGTTGGTGTTGTTGCCCGTCTTAGGCACTTCGTCCCACGTACAACCCTTTTAAATATTTATCACTCATTGATCTTGCCTCATCTGACATATGGTTTGGCGGCTTGGGGTCAAGCTGCCAAAACCCATTTAAAAAAAAAAATCTCGTGCTTCAAAAACGAGCCCCTTCGTTTGATGTACTTTTCTGAACCTAGAGCCCATGCTGTGCCTTTATTTATTTCCTCGAAAATTCTACCCCTACAAATGTTATATGCTGAAAAAGTATCTTCTATAATGTTTGACGTTTCCTGCATGAATGCTCCGTCTAACATCTGTGATTTCTTCACTAAAGCTAATTCAAAGCACAGGCATGAGACCAGGTTTTCTTCGTCTGGAAATTATTATGTTCAAACTTCAAGACTGAATCTAAATCAAGATTCTTTTTCCAGGTTTGGAGCTAAACTTTGGAACGCAATTCCTAACGAATTTCGTCAACTCTCCAAAGGAGCTTTTAAGAAAAATTTTCATGACTTTTTGCTCTCGATAATGGAAGCAGAGGACGATTATGTTGAAGTGCCCATTCTCCTACAAAAAATGGCAAATTCTGCATCCTCGACTCAATGTACATAATTGATAGTTCTGTTAGTAGTAAATTTGATTGTAATATCATTCTGTAAGACTATGTATTTTGTAACTTTAGCTTGTTTATCCAGATAGTTTATTTAGTTACTTTACAATTATTATATTATCTGTTATGACTGCTGTAACCTTTCCTCTCCGCCTGCCTCGTCTAGCTTTTGCTATTTGCGGGTGGAGATGGCAAAAAAAATGATTTGCATGAAATAAAGTATAGTGTGAATGTACATATAGAACAACATGGTAAAGTATCAAAGACTGAGAATCTCCAAGGTGCATTCTTTGGGATCATTTATATAAAAAACTGGGGAAACAACTTAGAGAAAGGATTCACAAGTTCCTTTGATGCACCATGCATCTTGACTAATACAGGTGCAGTACCAAAAAAACAAACACAGGATTCAAATTTAAACGAATGGGTTAGTTACCACTGACTATCTCAATAAACAAAGTTAATATTAAACAAGAGAATATAGCCACAGTGCCCTTCTCCCACCACCACAACCTTTTTGTAAAAGGCACAGTTTGAATCCATCAAGAACTCTTCCAAGATATTTCTGAGATCCATTAATTTACCCGATCTTCTGCTTCTAACAGCTTTTATAAACAAAGCTCTAAACTATTTATTCAACTTGAATAAATAGTTTAGAGCTTTCCAGAATCGGAACAAAAGTTTGGAATGAGATTTTCTTAAAATTGAGAAATCTTTCAAAAAATTCGTTCCATAAGGCAACAAAAGGAAAAGCCTTTCACATTCTCACTTAAGAAGACTCGTACGCAATCAAGAAAGTTGCAGCGAGCCAGTTGAGGACGAAGAGTCATCAGAGGAAGATGACGATGACCTTGAAGCTTTTAAGTCACTTCAGATGGACCACAAGGAGGCAAAGCCGAAGAACATCAAGGAACAGCTGCTTCTTAAGTTCTATGATTATTTGTGTATCATCCTAGGGGGTGGGGGAAGGAAGGGGGTTGCAAGAGGACAAAACACTCCATATAACTTGTCTAGCATATCCGTACCACAGGGCCAAACATCTGCATTCCAGTTGTTCCCAACCACCCCTGATATGGCCGGTAAAGGATGGTGGCATGGCTGTGTGGAGGATGTGGGCAAAGTCCCTCCGAAATAAATACGAGAAGCAGCTAGGTACAATCAAATCCTACGTTAGCTCTCTGGTGGAGTTGTGCAAGTGTGTGGTGGACCAAAATCAGCACTACGTCGAGAACTTCCCAACCACGTTACCTTGCTTAGTTTAACAGCTGAACAAATTGATTGTTCACTTCAAAAAAAAAAAAGCCTCGGCTGTCAGCAGCATGTACACCCATACAGTATACGAAAACAGATGAAGGATGTTGAGAAAGGATTTCTCAACAAGGTGAACTTACTCAAAAGAAGCTACTTTTTACCAATCAATTTGCTCGCTG